ACACACACACACACACACACACACACACACACACACACACACACACACACAGAATGACAAGGCTATTGTCTGCCACCCACGCTTTCCCCCAATCTACTGAATACATATCAATGAGGCTTGGCGCTGTGAGGGGGGATCATAATTATAACAAGTGATTTTTCTGGAGACTGCAGAACAATGGGAGTGGGGGGAGCTAATGTGAGAAGAAGACTCTTGGGACGGCTCTGATGTCTTGAGTACAAAATGAATGCTGTGATTGACAAGCTGACCATATGCACACAGGTTTGTGCACACATACACACACACACTGCACAGCTGTGTGCTCACGCAGCCTTACACAACTGTTTAGCTTCATCTCTTTCCCATCCTGCATTCTTTCTTTCCTTCTAATACAAACAAATCAGTGTACCTGTGTGCTGACACCAAAGTCACACAGCTTGACTTGTCCTCGGGTGTTCACCAGCATATTGGAAGGCTTGACATCTGTGGAGACAAACTGCTTGATAGAACTGCAACATCAGCACTCTGCTGCTTGTCTTTATCAACTCTGCTCTTTTTTTTTTTAATAACGCAGCAACCTTACTCACCTCTGTGAAGTATCTTCAGGCTCCACAAATATGTCAGGCCTTTTACCACCTAGAGACAGAAGCATCAAAAAATGATACACATTTCAAAAGCTTGGAGCATTTACCCAGCAAATCTAGCATTTAGGCCACTGAAACTTCATGCTTTTATCAATGCTGGGTGTTGAAGTAGTACACAGATACAGTAACTAATGCTGACATGGAAAAAATACACACTGATGAAATCCATACTGATGAACCTAAAACTTTAAAGTGTACCACCTCTAAGATCCATGTAAATACCCTATTTTCTCACAAAGAATGAATTATAGCCAGGACATGCCTAATTTTAAAAGTCTGCTAAAAACATGGACACGTAAATGTTTCAGACAGGCGGGGTTAAAGGGGGATATTGCAATTTTTTTTTTTTTTTTTTACTTTATATCACATTGTTCCATCATCAAAAACATACCCAGTTGACTCATTCATGCATGTTTGAGAAAACCTTGGATCTCCTGTGGTAGCCATTTGGAGCTGCCTAAAAAGCACTGCCGATTTACTCAAAGCTCCTCCCTGGAGCTCAGATAGTCTGCAGCCCCCACAGAGTCGTAAGGATTTTTTGCAAAATTTACGGATTTTTAGGGCTCTTTATACAGGTAAACTACTTTTATTCCTGATTTAAACTAGCGATCGTGAGCAGCTGTATGCTTTTATTTTTTTCTGTCAGGCTGTCGCTGAGCGCTCCTCCTCTGTCCGAGGCTGGTGTGGGGTGAAAATCCTCCACCTCAGACGTTCAGAGATGTAACTATCTGCGATACTGTGGTCACTTTCCATGTAGCATCAATTATGCTAATGCTAGCTGTCACGTTCTCTCGTCCTGGCCACACCTCCGCTCCTCCCCCCTCCCCTCCCCTCAGAGTCTCCACTTTGTGTATTTTTCAAATTTGCGTTGGGGGCGGAGTTATCCTTTCACAGGGGGGTAAGTTACACTTTAAGCACTGTTGTGAAGATGTGCTGAAGTGGGAGTATTCGAAACAGTAGGAGGTTCTTATATAGACAGAGGCCATATTTATGGTCAAGTCAATAATTAATTTCAAGTCAAATTTATGTTTTACTGTATACAGTATGTACCTAGAAAATACATAACGACCACCTCCCCACTTCAACAAATGCAAATAATAATAATAATAATAATAATTAAACGCCTTAATAGATGCAAATGTGCCACTGATTTTGTATGAATTCAGAATTTTGTATGAAATTTTGTATGAAACTGATTGGAGTTCAAGTTTACTGATATATTTTCCAATAATGAAAATCAGTCTTTTTGTTTTACAAAACTGTAAAATAATTCAAGCATTGTACAAAATGAGTACTCTAATATAAGACAATCTTTACATGTCAGCAATCTCCTGAAAATGTTAGATGTTCTGATGATGTGAAAATGTTACACAATCATATGGTAATGCTGTGATCACAACCAGTTTAGTTGAGATCGCAAAAGAGTGGTAGTTTCTATAAATGCAGAAAACAGCTACAGGTCCATTCAGCATTTGTTGAATATAAATGTATCTCTGTTGACCCAAAAGGGGGTGTATCATATATATGTTCTTTCCGAAGCTCTGGTAAATTAAAAAGATTGAGCAGCATAAACATCACTCTGCAATCCATCAACTGTTGCTCGTCGACTCACTCAAGTGCAGAAAAACTATTGACTGCAGCCGTACGTTGTGCGTGATTTCACACTGATGCAGAGTGTTTCTGAAAACTTCCACTCTCAAATTTGGATTCAAAAAGTTTTCAATGTGAGAGAAAACAATTGCAGTTGTGCACATAAATGAACAAATTCAATAGAAATGTTCCAATTTCACTTAAAAACAGTGAGTAAAGAGGACATAATGTAGCTGTTTCATACAGGTTCTATAGTGTTGAATAAAAATAGATGACTGAAGGATTGGGAAAGCTCTTCGAAAAAGAGAAGACACATTTTCAGGAATCAAAAATAGTCCAGTGTGTTAGGCTAAGTCTAGTGCCCTTACAGCTACATCTTTACCACTCAAAGTAGGTACCAAGGCTCTGTTGCCTCTAAAGAAAATAAATTAGGTTGGTGAGACATAATGAAGTATTTAACTATTATTAATTTTTCAAATGCATTGCATTGCTTTGTGGTGATTTCTTCATTTACACAATGTGTTAGCTGATTCTACTTCGAAGGCTCCTGTCAGCCAACACTGACACACAACACACCGAGATGAATGAAGAAAACACAGAAGTGCCTTAAAAGGTTGTGGTGCTACAACTGCCATGTGCAGCTTCTCTTGCACCCTCTTGGGAGCTTTTCTGTCAGTGATAATTAACAACTGTGACAACAGAAAAGAGGTAAAGCTGTGAAAAAGAATAAGCACCAACTAAATAGATGTCATTGTTTGATTACGGACAAAGTTAAAGGAGAACACAAAAAGAGAAGCTGGAGGCAGGAGGAGAGTAATGAGTGTGAAAAAGAGACATGCAATAATCAACAGCACTGTCATTCCACTCAAAAGGCTGCATTAATTGTGAGTAGAAAACAGGGGAGAAGGGGTAGCATTAAAAATATAAACATTAACCCTCTTTCTTGGGTTAGTTTTAAAAGTATAAAAACCTGAACCATAAGTTTGTTTTCACAATTTACGGCAAGTTTTTATGTTTTTAAAAAATAGTCAAAATAAAATGTATTGGAGTCTTTTTATCTGTTTTACAGATTTTTGTACTTACAGCCACTGCAATCCTCCCCAACACGTGCTCTGAAATTCTTTTATAGACGTCCAAAGATCCGCCTGAATGAGACAAATCAATCCTTTCCGTCATTTAAAAGTATTAGAATTTGCCACAAAGAAAAAGAAGCATACTGGAAATGTAGACATACATAATGTCAGTCTAGCTACTAAAAACTAAAATTTCCAGGTCAACACTGCTGTTATATACTTGTTATATGCTACAAAATTCACATTGAGCTTTTTTGGTATGCAACACACGTAATAGTTCATCAATATATTTGAATATTTTCCTTGCTTTCAGTAATCATGTAGGAGCAGGGAAAAAGAAGTTTCATGAAGTAAAAGGACTCAAAAGTTATAGACTTTGCWGGCATACAGGCAAATGTGTGAAACAAGGGAATCACTGCATTAACACACATTTTGACAAACATGCCCACACACCGAAAAACGTACAGTCCCTAATCTCACACCAGTGGAAACCCACACACATACGAAAACACCTAAAATGCACTTCAGTCAAGATTTATCACACCCTTGTAGCTTTTAGCACACAGACATGCTAAGCAGCTCAAAGCGATCAGACGTTCCCTTGATCTGCAGAAGTGTAAATGGATACTCAGCAGAGAAACRCAGGAGTGTTCACCCAACTCTCTTTCGTGCAACTGTAGCTAGCGAAGAAAAAAAATACTTTAGAAAAGCTCACCATCCATAAACTCTGTGCATATGGATATCCTGTTCTCTACAAAAAAGGCACCAAAGAAAGTGATGATGTAGGGTGAATCACACTGTAAAAAAAGCACAGAGTAAACATTAAAAAAGTCTAATAAACTGAAGATGAATGATTGCAGTTTTGTAGACATTACATCAGTTTATCTTTTTGTTCAATTTTAAAACAATGTTTTTGGACATAAAAAAGAGAATTGTAGTGGCTTGAATTGACAGATGGTGAATAAAAACCTACCTATTAAACAATGAAACCATTATAAGTCCTTTTTGTTGTAAGTTCTCCGACTTTTTAAAATAACTTCCAAAATATGAAAATTGCAAACTGAGTTTTTCTAGCTTAGTGAAAAATTTAAAACATGAATGGGTGTCCTTCTTTACTGATCCCTCACTCAGTGGGAGTAGAACGTGCTTAAAGTCAGTCATTAGTCAGGACTTATTGTAATTCAACCATGTGATGGTACTTTTACATTGTTGAGCATCTTTACACTGGGTGCTCCCGCCCATATACAGCTCTGTTCTTTGAACCTACTCGTCCGAAGCTCCAAGCAGCTGAGTGGAGCTGAAGATTCACCGTCAGCAGACTGCAGGTCATTGATTGGCCAGAGAGGGATGTCAATCAAAAGAGTGTCTCCTTCACAATAATTAAACTGCCCTTTTGAAAACCTTGCAAGCCCAGTATTCAATTAACTCACTATTTAAAACTATTTTTATTACAACCATTAAAATATTAACACCAAGATACTATGACTAGGAGATGCAGACACTTCCTTGCTTTCTTTGGCTGACAACAGAATTCAGAAGGAGCTAGACCAAATGGGCTCAGTTTACGACTAGAGGTAACAGGTGGCCTCAACTCAGCCGCAGCAGTTTTGGAAACAGTAGCAGAAAATGTTGAGTGTTTTGTAACTTTATTTCTCTTTTATGTACTCAGTRGTGGTAAGTTTGAGGTGGCTGCGCMAAGACAACCTGCCCAGAACGAGGCAACGCTCAACCCACCTACAACACTCATGTAAATTACTGATTATGKTAGACTGGACAAAGTTAAAGTAGAATAAGCGTAGTTGGACATTAATATTTAGGTAAGAAAAACTGGTTTTGACAAAGATGAACAGTCAACACTAACCTTATAGAGAATTTCTAATTCGGACATGATTTGCTTCTGTAATTCCACTGTGATATCCAAAGGAATTACCTGCAATTAGATATTTAACGTGGAGTTATAGCTTTTAATAAACCCAACACGAATTAATTTTGACATTTCAATGGAAATTYGAGGTAATAAAGTAAGTACTATGACATTCCTGAAAACAAAAGAATTCTTACCTTGACAGCTAAAACCCGCTTGCTGAGAACATGGTAGGCTCTAAAGAGAGAAAAACAACAACAAAAAACTAACTAAATAAAACTGAAGTAAATAAAACGTGTGAAATAAACAACGAAATGATGCTGCTTTTTGTTCGATAAGGATAAAAAATTTTAACCTGCAAAGATGGATAAYATATTTTTAGCCTTGGCTTTGGCAGCTGGTGGTCAATTTTCACATCCAGTTAAGCTAAGTTGATTGAGTTTAGACATCTTTTTGAGAACCAGTTCAAGTTTATCCTTCTATTATTATAATGGACAAACGAAGTTGTTTTTTTCTCCCAGACATAACATACAAAGGAATTTCTAATACAGWTCATTTCAGGAAAATACGACAAACAGTTCAAAAACATTTGACTGTCACTTAATGGTGGCTCATGTCAATTTGTTTTAAATCAATGAAACAAATTAACATATTATCCAGGTATGTGTAATCCACTGTAATACTATTCCAAGAACAAAATCAAAAATCTCTACTGGAAAACATGAATAACAGTAAAACTTTTTTAAAACGGTACGACCATACACCCTAACCAAAAACTAGATCCAGTCAACCTCATCTATAGCTGCTGCAGACAGAGTTTAGAATTACAGGTACAGCAGCGGTCACCCATCAGCCCCATAATGATTTAATTAGTAAACACCTTAGTAGCAGGCATCGGCTTTAGTTACTGCCCTTGAAGGTTAGTTTACAGTAGCTGTGACAATACCTGAAGAGCTCTACAAATACAATCCTCAAGGACAAACGCAGCCCAACAGCTGTCAGGTTMTGGGGATGATGTAGGCTCAGTGTACGTCACACAGACTGGTTGGTTTGCAAGCATGCTTAATACATGTGACACACAACAACTTGCTTTCCAGTGTGTCATCCAGAGAGAGAATCTGTATGGTGCAAAGTGCGTTTAATGCGTCTAACTTTGAAGTGTCAAATTGCTCTTTAGCARGACACTTCTAAACTGTCTCAGGACTTTAATTAATGACACCCATTAGTGCCACGTTAGGTATTTACACACCGTTTGGACCAACTCTCCATGACTATACAATGCTGCCATTCAGTTAGGTTGCTGAAGACAAACTAAATAATAGCAATACTTTTTTAAGTGAAGAACAAACAAAACAACTTCCATTGGAAATCGACATGTTAAGATGAACAGAATAACAAAACGTATAAGAAATGTATACTTTACAAATCAGGGAGCTTTGAATAAAAGGTTACATGTAACAGATGAATAAAAAAGGCCCATTTTTAATAACTAAAATATTTTTATCATTTCTGGAGGAAGTAAACTTTTGATCTAATGGCTGTGTCTCAATTCATGGGTTGCAGCTGAGAGCGCATTTGTTGGCCATTTACAAGACTGCCCTGCACCGTAGACCAGGGCTATTCAACTGGTGGCCCGTGGGCCGGATGTGGCCCGCGAGTGACCAAAGTTCGGCCCGCCAATTGGTTCATTCATCTCTTAAGCCCAAACCCCCGGTTTTCTACTTTAATTACTTTTAGTTAAACATAGACATGTTTGGTATCTACAGAAACGTCAAAATCTTGGCTAGAAGCTGGTAAAAACATTTCTATGAACACTCAAGACAGTTAAAACGACAAACAGTTGAAGATAAAATGATGAAAGTGAAAATAAAATTGGTTTAAAAAATTTGGCAAGTCAGAGATGTCAAAATATTATTTGTGTCAAATAGGAAGCATAATGTGTTCTTTTTGTTTTTGATAATGTTTAATTATCTCTACTTTTATGGGGTTCTGTATGTTTTRTCCATGATTAAATGCAGCAAAATAAACTAATTCAAAGGTAACAGATCATTGTAATACTTGGTTTATTYACATAATAACTTTAATTGCTGGATGTTTGGCCCCTCAGCTGTTGACCGGCAGTAACTGTGGCCCCGGGAGCAATTTAGCTGAATAGCCCTGCAGTAGACTGTCCCAGTTTGTGGGCGCCTACTCAAGCAGCCGACGAAACTACAAAAATTTAGGCTGCATCTGAGTATCCTACATGGCTGACAATAGCCCAGGATTCATTACGCTGTCAGCAAACTGAACAGAAAAACAAAGACGGCAAAGGTTCCTTTTTTTTTATAGTGGAAATTTATCAAGGACCGAAGAGCTCATTTTTAAATATAAGTTCAGCAGAATAGCTGATGAATTTTATGCTGCAATGAGATTTTAAATCAAATGCAACTACAAGCACTGACACTGCACTGCAAAAACTGTCCATCTTATCAAGTTTTAAAATCTTATATCCAGCCAAAAAGTCTTTTTGATCTTTTTTAGACTGATTTACTAAACAAGAACTGTGTAAGAATAATAAGCTTGTTTTCATAATGTGTAAGATTATTTGCCTTGTTAGCCTGAAAATTTGACTCAAATTAAGTCCAAAATTTCTGCCAATGGAGTAAGAAAATTTCACTTGGTAAGATTCTTGAAATAAGAAAAAAAAATGGAGTCAAATCAAGTATTTCAAGAATCTTACCAAGTAAAATTTTCTTACTGCATTGGCAGAAATTTTTTACTTAATTTGAGTCAAATTTTCAGGCTAAGAA